TGGGAGGAATATTATCTCTCGGTAAAATCTGGGCTTCGCCTCGTGAAATGGAAAAGTCCAGATTTTCCCTTGCGATAACATTCCTCCCATTCCACGCTGAGCCACTCAATATTTGTATATTATAACACCTCACCAACAGATTCTGTGTCTTGATTGGCCGAGAGCGAGTCACATGCTACTTTCTAATTTTGCTATCTTTCTGTGCACGGCCAAAAGTACTATACCCGTAGCAACCAAAGTACTATACCATTAGCAACCAAAGTACTATTTCCACGGCGCGTTATTTGTGTGCAAATGGATGCTGGTGTGCGCATTGCGCGTTGCGCGTATTGTTCCAAAGAGAGCGCGCCGCAGACTGGGGTTGCAAGATTTCGTGAAGGGGTAGTTTTTAAGAGAGAAATACATTTTCCACTTATTTTGTATTGAAATTGAAGTTTATTTCAACTGTGTTCAGATTTAAATAAATTAAAATATTAAAACCAAGCAGAATCTGTGGGTGAAGTGTTTTAAAACAAATATTTAATGCTTTATCTCGTGGTGAAGTAAAACTAGCCTCCCTCGGTGATCCATGGAGCATTCTATTTTCCCTTGGCTTCGCCTCGGGAAAATAGAATGTCCATGGATCACCTCAGGGGGCTAGCTTTACACCACTCGAAGCATTCAATATTTGTATAATATCGGACCTCCAATAGCGCTGTAGAGTAAATGGCGAGCTGACAGACTGATAATACAGTTGATGTGAGACAGGGATGCGTCCCCAGTTGTTTAACATTCTACCAGAAGTTGTAATTACAGCACTTAATTACGGATATTAGAGTCAACATCTCTGGATTTCAATTAAACAACCTACGATTCGCAGATGACATTGTCTTACAGGAAGAACGTGAAACACTTGTCAACATGCATGCAGAGTCCAAATTAAAAGCAGGCAGCAACTTCGGACTGAATATAATCACATCTAAACCCAAGTTTAAACCATCAGCAAAATGAAGCAGATACTCGACATCCGTCCAAACATAATGTGTACCGGCGTATGGGAGGAATTAACATCGTAGAGTCTGGCTCATTATGTGAGTGAAGATGACAGAACCGTTTGGCAGCCGGGACACCACGAAGCAGGAGCCGAGACCGCCTGCTGATGAGCATGGTGTGGAAGGCTTATAGGTCAAGGTAGGTCAAGGATAAATCGCCTGACATGAAAGAAGACTTGAAGACTTGTCAATCAGCTTTCTCCATCCCTCTCGATCCTCAGACTTTCTCAGGGAGTCACTCAGCGTCAGGCCTGTCCGCTAGATGTTGTTCTCCGACCTCTTTCTCTGCCTGCCTCTCTTCTTCCTCTTTGCACAGTGCCTTGCAGGATCGTCTTAGCAAGTCCTGATGATCGTGAAATGTGCCCATACCACTTCACTTTGCGCTTGTTCACAGTGGTCAGGCTGGAGCTTACGGATGCATACTACTAAATCGGTCTAATTTTGTGGTTGTCATTATAGCTGAAAACTGAAAATGAAGTACAAGGCCAAGATGTCTTTTAAGGCTTTCAAGCCAGTTGTGTGAATAAAACTGACCGTTTATAGGAATGCACCCATGATCTGCTCAAGCCAACCCCACTAAATCTAGAAACCATCGGCTGTATGTAGCTGATGGTACATCTTCAAAATGTTACATTCTCGTTCTCATGCAAGATAGACGATCACAGAGCAAGGAGACATGTTAACAAACATTACGTTTTTTTTTTCGACTGAGAAGGGGCTCGAATCCTCCAATAGTAGGACGCCGATTATTAGTTAGGCCTTAAAGCAATATTTGAACCTGAAGCAATAACAATCCTCACTCTAAAGCGATTGTTATTCTTTGGGATATATGATGAGTGGATGATTATAATGGGTTCATTAAGCTTTGAAGAAATTGTTATCACTGTGAATTATATCCGGCCCTTTTCTATATTTTAAAAGAAACAAGTATTTATGATACCAGATCCAATGATGGAGGACTCAAGTCCGCACTCGGACTCGAGTGAGTCGAGTCCACATTCGGACTATAGTCCGGACTCATCAATTGTTTTAATTTGTGTCCGTGCCTTTTGGACTCGGCTTGGCTGGAAGTCGGCTCGTGGCTGACTCGGAATACCTGTCAGACTCGTCCATTTAATTTAAAGAAAAAACCGTGTTTATAGAAATTTAAGAAAAAAAACTTGGATTGTTTTGAAAAACGGTCCTGCGTCTGTTGTCTGATCACTTTTTGATGCATAACTAGGCCGTAGAATAATAACAAGAGACCGATTGGACGGTTCTCAGCTGTACTCGTGCGCGCACATGCTATACGAAAGGCTTTGGCGAGTGCGACTGGACTAGGACTTGGCTCGGACTTGACAATTTGGACTCAGACGTGAGCCGGACTCGGATAGAAATGAACTTGCACTTGGCTCCAACTCGAGCCTTAGATCATGCACTCGGCTCAGCTCGGACTCGGATGAGGTTGACTCGACCACATCACTGACCGGAGCCAAGCCACAAGAAATGTTATTGTTATAAACTTTCGATTTAACTTGGTGGTATACTTTCAGCAATTGGTCAATGTGGAAACACATGTTTTGGCCTTTCGAGTTTACCCGGGACGAAAGTTTCGCTATAGTTATAGGCCGACGACGAAGGGTCAAGGCACGGCCAAGAATAACAACCAATAAGGGAATAACAGTGTGAGGATCCGGTCTTCAGTGCGTGATAATGACGGGTGTGGGGGTGACCGCTGTTAATGGACCTCGACTTCGTCTCGGCCCATTAACAGCGGTCACCCCCACACCCGGTTGTTATCACGCAGTGAAGACCGGATCCTCACACTGTTATTCCCATTAATAAATACCTTTATAACGAAATAAACAGTAAAAATGCTCAAATTTGGGACTTTCTTTCGGCGATATTTCCAGACTTTTTTGTGTTCATGTTCATGGGCCATATTTTAGCTTAACAGCTATAACGACGTAAAATCAACAGAAACTGCTGCCGTAGCGAAACAAATAACAACAATGTTTTCATATCTTTACCTGATGGAGGAAGCTGAAATCTCGTTAAAACATTCTTTGTGTTCGGAATTACAAAGATGCTTGGTTTAGGAAAGGTAAATATGTCGGTGGGTGAAGTGTTCAAAGAAAATAAATCGTAGATCTACGCTTTCGTCGTAAACATCCTCAGTATATACTGCACTGCTGTATATAGAGCGATGTCGCTCTAAAACCTCCTTACGCGCGCGCACGCACGCATCCCTAGCAACTGTGTTGCGTACGCGCGCGTCAGTCTCACGCGATGGGGGTCGAGCGCATGTGCAGTGCTCAATAGACCGCTTGCAGACGCGATCGATAATTGACGCGCGAAGGTGCGCGAAGCCATGTTGTGGGACAAAATGTGCATGGATAGATATACGCTTGTCCCACAACATGGCGTCGCGCGCCTTCGCGCGTCGATTATCGAACGCATATGCAAGCGGTCTATTGTTAAAAGCTACCGCAGGACTGTTACTATATTTTGACCAATCATTGGCTTGCATGGGGCTGAACGGGGCTGGATCAATGCTGGTTCAGGGGCCATTTATTCGCTTGATCTTTGAAGCCGGTTCATTATCACTGTAACACATGCTTTCCGTAAGGATTATTTGGACATACATTTTATCATGTTGCACCGAAATATCTTCCGTGGAGGTCAATAATCTGTGTATCACCCACGAGGTCTTAGTCTGGTTTATGTTATGCATGATGCAATAGTTTCGGGCTGTAGAGTCAAGACACAGACATACGCTAGGGTGCATTGTTTCATGTGGGCTTTCTGCATCAAGTTCACCGTTTTGGGGAAAGATAATCTGCCCAAGATCTTTGTTTAATTAATAACTATCAGTTTGACCTGACGTCTTTTCTGCCAGTTTGCTGTAGTTGACCTGTGCTCAACAAAGTCGTGAGTCTTTGGTTTCATGACTATTTTGCGTGCAATCATTGTTAGGATTGGGACTCTGAGGGGCAGACACGTTTGGGGGGAATAACACATGGGGATTTGTAATGCTGTCTCATTCCTGATTTTGTTATTATATTTGTTCGACACTAAATTAACTGAATAATTTACTCCTCACATGGTTATGTTATGTATGTGTATTGTTTATTGTCATGAAAACATACTTACAAATTGTTATTTGATCTGTGGTTAATTTCAGATTAAACCTAGTTATATTCCACAAGTACATTTGCGTGGAAAGCGTCAATGACCACTTGAGAGTGAAGGGTTTATGCAAACAAGGCAGCAGAATTGCGTTACAGTTTAATGACTTTGAGTCACTCTCCAAGTTATTGGAGTTATGGCGTTCCAGTCAACGTTGGCGACCAAAGTTGAGACGGCTGCCCGCCACCAGTACTTGCCTGACAACCACCCATGATGTTCACTATCACAGTCCAGGGGTTGTGTGTATTGCACCTGATCATGCTGATGTTGAGTGTATGCAGCTGATGACTGACGCAACTTGCGCCCTACATGGTGAGAGCCGTAATCATCAGGTATTTCATCGTGGTCCAGAAGGGGACAAGATTTGAATCTTGAATCATCTTTGAATCTTGAATCATTTGATTGTGGCCAAGTTCGTATACCTGTACATGTACTGTAACCTTTGAACTTTGGACGAGCACCTGATTCTGTGTTTCGAGGATATCCCAAGTTCATCGAACTGTGACCTGTGACCTCTGAGCTTTGGACGAGCACCTGATGCCGTGTTTGAGGATATCCCAAGTTCATCGAACTGTATACTTTGAACTGCACATGTGTTTGATTTATTGCTTGATTGTTGTGTAATTTTCTTGCTAATTACTTGTAGTGTTTGATATTTCACATAATTTACATTTTCTTCACATAATTGTGTTGATTTATTGATTGACTGGTTGGTAAAATCTTTTCTGATTTATATAATATTGGTATTGATCATAACGTACTGCTATTCCATTTTTCACTGCTGTAATTTGATAGTTCACAATGTCAGTTTCAAATGCCAGTAAATCCAGCAAGGCTGGTACTTCCAGTTCAATTAGTAGTGCTAGGCTCAAGGCAGCTGCTACTTTAGCAGGCCTTCAGGCAGAAGCCGCAAGCAGGATAGCATTGAAAGCCATTGAAGAGGAAGAGTTTAGACTTGCTCAGCGTAAGCGAGACTGCGAACTCCAGCTGGAAATTGCCAAGGTAGAGGCAGAGCAGAGGGCTCTGGGAGACATTGAACAATCTTCAAATGAAGAGGAGCCTAAGCTAAGTTTACATGGGTCGACGGCTGCAGAGAAGGTGGATCAGTGGTTAACTGGTAACCCGCAGCCATCTGCTCCAGTGCAGCCATCATCGCCCATGGCAGCGATTCCTTTGCAACGTGAGATGATTGACACGCTGCTCTTGCCGAAGTGTGAGCTGGTCAAGTTCAATGGGGACCCTCTTGAATACTGGATCTTCATCTCTAGCTTTGATGCAGCTGTTGGCAACACCAGCGTTGGGGCCAGCGCCAAGCTAAATCGCCTGTTCCAGTATTGTTGCGGAGAGGCGCTGGCAGTTATCAGATGTTGTGCTGTCATGCAGCCGGATGAGGGCTACACAAAGGCAAGAGCATTGCTACGTGAACACTTTGGTAACGATTACAGGATTTCGGAAACTTGGGTCAGTAAACTTACAGAGGGCCCGCGCATCCTGCCAGGGGATTGCAGAGGTATCCAGAAGTTAGCTGACGATCTTCGGAGTTGCACACTCACTCTGACAGCGATGAAAAAGCTTGGAGAAGTTGACACTAAAAGGAGCCTTAGCCTCATCGTAAAGAGACTGCCACAATTCGTGCAGGGTAAATGGCGTTCAAAAGCTGTGGGCATTCTGGACAAGACTGGCCACTACCCCAATGTTGCAGAACTTGCCAAGTTTATCAGCAAAGTAGCTCGAGAGGCAAATGATCCTGTTTATGGTTTGGAGGACCGGCACAGCAATGAGAAATCACCCAAGAAGAAGGGATCCAACTATAATATCCAAGCCACCAGTGAGGTCGACCACAGGTCTCGGGTTGGGACTGACTCGCCCAAGCGTCAATGTGGCAAGAACGAATTGGTGAAGAAGACAGCTTGTCCATTGTGCTCTGGGGGACATGCACTCGCGGCATGCAACAACTTTGGTAAGATGTCTCCTACTGACCGAGTCAAAGTGGCGAGTGAAAACAAGCTGTGTTTCAACTGTCTCTCCAGTAGGCATTTTGCAAGGCAGTGTAAAGCAGCTCCCTGCGGTTTCCAAGGATGTAGAGGAAAACACTCGAAGCTGTTACATGGTGTATTCCAGAGAGCGAATTCTGAAGATGGAGGTGCTCCTAAAGAATCGCGTGATGATCAGAAAGTCGGAGCAACAAGTCTCGCTTGTGGGTCCAGTCAAGAACACTCCAAGATAGCCCTACCAGTTGTCGCCGTGATGGTGAGAGGTACGGGTAGTGGGGAGTGGCTCAAGACAAATGCTCTTCTTGATCCCGGAAGCAACAGGTCGTTCTGCACAATGGAGTTAGTGAAAATGCTGGGTGTAAAGGGCACCCCACAGTCTTTGTCTTTGGACACGTTGAACGAGAATGCACAGGTTGAAACAGTTGTGCTTTCGTTGGACGTGTCTGGAACTGTCGGCAAGGCCCATACCAGAAAGTCTTTCTGCATACCAGAGATTCACGCTCTGAAAGAGTTCCCGACTCTGCGAGATTCCTGCGCTACCTTTGAAGATGTGAGGAAGTTCAAACACTTGAGAGACATTCCTGTTCCATGCGTGGCTAAAGATGGTGTAGCGATTCTCATTGGACAAGATGCCCCACAGGCCCTGGTTCCATTAGAGGTGAGGCGTGGTGCGGAAGGCGAACCCTACGCAGTCAGAACCTGCCTTGGATGGACGGTGAATGGACCGTTAGCCAGTGGGAGTCCAGCAGCAGCAGTGTCCAACTTTGTTCAAGGCGGCCTTGAAGCTCAGGTTGAGCGATTTTGGAAGCTCGATACTGCAGACCTATCAGATGACAGAACCATGTCACTGGATGACAAGAAGGCAGAGAAGACATGGAATGACTCAGTCAATCTTGTCGATGGCCACTACCAGTTAGACATACCATTCAAGTCGGACACTCCCGATTTGCCTGAGAACAGGATTGTTGCAGAAAGGCGCTTGCAATCCCTTGCCAAGCGGTTTACCAAGGACCCCGGTTTGCACTCAAGATACTGTGCAGAGATACAAAATCTGTTGAGCAGAGGGTTTGCTGAGAGGGTGCCTGAGCACGAGCTGGCATCATCAACGGGACGAACTTGGTACTTACCTCATCACTGTGTTCTGAACCCCAACAAGCCCGAAAAGCTTAGAGTTGTGTTCGATTGCGCTGCCAGATGCTGTGGTACTTCGTTAAACGACAGAGTATTACAGGGGCCGGACATGATGAATAAGTTAGTTGGAGTCCTTACCCGATTCCGAGAGCACAAAGTTGGATTGATGGGAGACATCGAGCAGATGTTTCATCAGGTTGGAGTCTCCAAGGAACACAGAGATGTGTTACGATTCCTATGGTGGCCTGAAGGGGATGCTACTCGACCTCCTGAAGTGTTTCGTATGACAGTCCACCTTTTCGGAGGGGTATGGAGTCCGAGTTGCTCTGCATTTGCTCTTCGGCGAACGGCAGATGACAACGAGGATATGTTCAGCAGTGATGCAGTCCAGGCGGTAAAAGAGAACTTCTACGTTGATGATCTTCTTAAATCCTTCAAGTCGGAGGATGATGCAGCATTAATGGTGAAGCAGCTGACACACCTTCTAGCTAAAGGTGGCTTCCACTTGACTAAGCGGATCTGCAGTAGCAGAAAGGTCATGGATTCCGTACCGACGGCTGAAAGAGCCAAGACAGTCACCGACTTGGACCTTGATCATGAACGTCTTCCTGTGGAAAGGGCCTTGTTAGTACGTTGGGATACCGAAAGTGATCAGATTGGAGTCAAGATAAAGTCGAGGCGAGGATGTCACACTAAGAGAGGTCTGTTAAGCATTCTGAGCTCCGTTTACGATCCTCTTGGGTGCGTGTGTCTATTTGTTCTGTTAGCCAAGCTCATGTTCCAAAATGAGTGTAGAATAGTTGGGAAGGGCTGGGATGAGCCATTGGAAGTCAGTACGCAAGATCAGTGGACCAGGTGGCTGGATGATCTTCCCAAGCTGGAGCAGTTTTCTGTTGATAGGTGTCTGATTCCTGGTGATTTTGGAATTGTTGAGGAATGTCGTTTGCATCATTTTGCTGACGCTTCACAAGATGCCTATGGCTCCGTTTCTTTTGCCCGCTTTGTCAACACTGATGGTGATGTTCACTGCAGCTTTCTGATGGGCAAATCACGACCCGCACCGTTGAAAACCATGACTATCCCTAGACTAGAGCTATCTGCTGCAGTTATTGCAGTGAAGATGGACCAGATGCTCAGAAGAGAACTAAGGGTTCAGGTGAAAGGGTCAACATTCTGGACAGACAGTACGGTGGTACTCCAGTACATAAGTAACCAATCAAAGCGTCTCCAAACGTTTGTTGCAAACAGAGTTGCTACAATTCATGATGGATCTACCGCCAGTCAGTGGAGATATGTCAATACACAGCAGAATCCTGCTGATGATGCATCTAGGGGGCTCGATGCCCAGAGTATGCTTGACAAGATAAGATGGAGAAAGGGTCCTGATTTCTTGTGGCAGACTGAGGACAGTTGGCCTGTGACTCCACAAATTCCTAGTCTGCAGGAAAAGGACAAGGAAGTGAGAAAGGTAGCACTGTCCCGAGCCGTAGATGTCGTTGATCAGGATGACCCCATTCACAGGTTGATCAGCAGATACTCATCTTTGTATCGTCTCAAAAGGGGGGTCGCATGGGTGCTCCGCTTCATAAAGTGGCTGCGACTCCATAGGCCCAGGAATTTGGATAATGGAGATAAGGGAAACCAGAGGTTGACTGTGGGTGAACTGCAAGATGCGGAGCTGGCCATAATCAGGAGCGTTCAGAGAAGGCACTACAAGAAGGAGTTCCGTGATTTGTTGGCGGGAAAGATTTCGGTGCAGAGACAGAGTCATGTGTATAGTCTCGAACCGTGCGTAGATGACCATGGTGTATTGAGGCTTGGTGGTAGACTGCGACACTCTCCAGTTGGGCCCACTTGCAAGCATCCAGTGATACTACCTCGTGATAGTCATCTGGCCACTTTGATAGTTCGTCATGCACATGAATTGCTATCTGGCCATTCGGGCAAAGAGCATGTGCTCTCTGTGATAAGACGACAATATTGGGTTCCCAAGGTGCGACCTTTGATCAACCGCATTTTGAAGGAGTGCGTGCTCTGTAGAAAACTTCGGGGACTTCCTGGCGTTCAACGCATGGCCGACCTACCTGCCTACAGAGTGACTCCAGGCAAACCACCGTTCACCCACGTTGGGGTTGATTGTTTCGGACCGTTTCATGTCAAACGAGGGAGGAGCAGGGAAAAGCGATATGGCTGTATTTTCACCTGTATGCGAATCAGAGCAGTCCACCTGGAGAAGCTACACTCTCTAGAAACTGATTCGTTCCTCAATGCCTTCCTAAGGTTTGCGGCAAGGCGAGGAACCCCGGAGAAAATCTATTCCGACAACGGGACTAACTTTGTTGGAGCAGAAAGGGAGCTAAGGGCAGCTATCGAGCGTCTACAGGAAAGCAAACAGACGGAGAGTTTCTTTCTCAGCAGAAAGGTCGAATGGCAGTTTAACCCGCCAGCGGCCTCCCACATGGGAGGCGTTTGGGAGCGCCAGATTCGTACCTGCCGGAAAGTTCTGAGTTCACTTCTGCGTGATGAGGTGCTTGATGACGAGAGACTTGACACATTGTTCTGCGAAGTGGAGTCTATCGTAAATGACCGACCCATCACAGCAGTCTCCGACGATCCGAAAGATCTCGAACCCCTTACTCCCAATCATCTGTTGAAGCTTGGACATGGGCATCCAGTTCCACTCCGTGACTTGAAAGCAACTGACCAGTATGGGAAGCGATGGAAACGCGTACAGTTGCTGGTTGAAAGGTTCTGGAAGCGTTGGACTGCAGAGTATCTTCCCACGCTTCAACGCAGACAACGTTGGCTTGAGCCACAAGCCAATTTCAAGGCTGGTGACCTGGTGTTGGTCAAGGATGACAATCTGCCCAGAAGTCAGTGGCCTCTAGCGAGGATTTTGAAGACCTTCCCTGGAGCCGACGGTCTGGTTAGGAGTGTGGGAGTACGGACAGCCACTGGAAATCATGTCAGGCCAATCACCAAACTGTGTCTGTTAGAAGGTGTTAAAGACTAGAAGCATCTCCTTACCCAATTGGACCAAGTTCTTAGTTATAAGGCAACACGTTTAGGTTCCAGTTTAAAGTTTAATCGTTTTATAAGGTTTACTGTTAAGCTTGGTTACTTGTTGTGATTGTAAATGTTCGTTGATTACTCTTACATTTAAGGGGCCGGAATGTAACACATGCTTTCCGTAAGGATTATTTAGACATACATTTTACCATGTTGCACCGAAAAATCTTCCGTGGAGGTCAATAATCTGTGCGTCACCCACGAGGTCTTAGTCAGGTTTATGTTGTGCATATACAAAATTTCATGCTATAGAGTCAAGACACAGACATATTGTAGTGTGCACATTGTTTCATGTGGGCTTCCTGCATCAACGATTTGGGAAAGATAATCTGCCCAACTTCTTTTGTTTTAATTAATAACTATCAGTTTGACCTGACGTCTTTTCTGTTAGTTTGCTGTAGTTGACCTGTGCTCAACAAAGTCGTGAGTCTTTGGTTTCATGACTATATTGTATGCAATCATTGTTAGGATTGGGACTCTGAGGGGCACACATGTTTGGGGGGAATAACACATGGGGATTTGTAATGCAGTCATATTCCTGATATTGTTATTATATCTGTTCGACACTAAATTAACTGAATAATTTACTCCTCACATGGTTATGTTATGTATGTGTATTGCTTATTGTCATGAAAACACACTTACAAATTGTTATTTGATCTGTGGTTAATTTCAGATTAAACCTAGTTATATTCCACAAGTCCATTTGCGTGGAAAGCGTCAATGACCATGAGAGTGAAGGGTTTTATGCAAACAAGGCAGCAGAATTGCGTTACAACTTTGATCACGCTTTCAACTACACATTATGTACATGCCTGTGTGTTCATTTGGTAGAGTTTTTCGCACTGTTTACGGGCGGTGAGTCAACTCTTGATTGTGTCATCTTGACAGCTATACTCTGCCATTGAACCTAAAGTTAAAAAACAGCGCGCCCAACTTCTGTATTGTTGCAAGCTACCGTAGGACTGTTGTATATTTGGCCAATCATTGGCTTACATGATGCTGGATCAATTCTGGTTCAGGGGCCATTTATTCGCTTTTTCTTGAAGCCGGTCACATGTTAATACATCGCCACGTGATCAAGTCTCGACCAATCAGAAGTTATTTACTCTCCATTAATACCATGTATACCCGAGGCGTTGTCGAGGATAAAACAAAAAAAACTACCAACAGCTTATTTCCATTGTGGTCCTCTATAATATATTTACCTACCCCCCCCCCCCAAAAAAAAAACCCACCTATAATGGATTCATAGAAATAATACAAAAAGCAATTGCACATGAAGTGTTAGACAGACACAATTCAGGCCAAAGACCCTTCCCGCTGGTTGTTTTATGACCAACTGAAATGACGGATGAAGTAGAGTATAAAAACGCCTCCAACTTCTGTTAAGATGAATTCATAGAAATAATTCAAAAACCAATTGCACATGAAGTGTACACGGACAAAATTCAGATAAAACACATAGGCCCTAATTAAAATCCTTCGGGCAGTTTTTTTATAACCATTTACTGAAATGACGCCTAAAGGATATAAGAATGCTCCCAATTTCGGTCTGAACACCACAACCAACACTGCAGCGAGAAGCACCAGACATCTGAGTCATCTGTTCGTGGTAAGTGAGAAAATATCATTTGATGCCCTTTTTTTGCACGGACAGTTGACAATTAAACCAAACGTGTATGTTAGTATTTTTTATCTCAGTTGTTTTAATTGATAAAAGTATGACAGTGTTGTAGTTCTGTGATTGTTATTGTTCTGAATAAGATGCTCGTACCATATTTTCAATTGGGGCGCTGTTCAAAACCAAGGATTATTAACACTATGATAGTGTATACAAATACCCCCTAACCCAGCAGGCTCGTCCGTATTTAGGGCGCAGGCGTATATTAATACCATTATAATTTTTTTTAGGTGTCAGAGCGGGGGGGGGGGGGGGGGGTAGCATTAAATTTGATGAATTTCTGTGAAAAAAAACCCAAACTTTTGACAGAGCTAGGGGGGGGGGGGGTGTTTCGACCCCCCTCCCCCGGATCTGCGCCTGATTAAATAATTGCTTACTTGTCGTAGGCCTTTTTTTTTCGTTCGCTGTCTCATTGGAAAGCTCATAAGGGTCATTCCATGTCAGACCAACGCACTTTTTTTACCTCATGTCTTCCAATTTTCATAAAAATTGCTGTGCTTGTAGGTCCTGATGAACAATGGATGTACGACTTACCATGTGGTCAGGGCAGACACCACCAAAAAATGACATTTTTAGAGTAAGATACCACCCTTTTGGTAGAAATATGCCAAAACATGTCCATTTCTATCGAATATATGCGAATTTGGAATTAAAATAATATGACTTGCATCGTTGCTCAAATCAACTCTTTTGTCAAAATTGAATTTTGTGAGAAGTCGGTCACGTGACCTTTGATATGTTATTGTGTCCTTTGACCCAATGTTTATAACAATGTATCATTCCGAAAAACTAAAATGACTTAAAAGAGCATGTCTTCCTCTATCAGAATCCACTAAAACTCAATTGGGGTCTTCAAAATTTACAACTTTATGACTATTTTTTTTACAGTTGGTAGGTTACAAATGAGTCACTTTACAGACTTTACATTAGAAATCCACCAACACAACTTACTATTCTGTTTCTAAAGGTACTTAAATTAATCTTGGTTTGGGAATTATTCATGTTTAGGGCTGAAGAGGTCTAACCAGACTCATAATATTAATTATCAGCAGTGGCACACCCAGGATTTTGCGTAAAATCCTTGTTTTGAAAACCGCTTATTGAAACCATACTGTAATTTAAATGCCTAGAACACAAACATTATTGACCTTTATTCTGCTCTGACATTTACTGAGAAGGAAAATGTTTTTTTTCAATCCTGGTTGTGTTGGCCTACCAAGGTTTATTTTTTAAGTCACGTTTTCTACAGTTCTTTGTGACAATTGAGGTTTTGTGTTCAGTATTGCCCCCTGTAGGCCTCTTATAGTACACAAACACTTCGAACTTTTCAAAACTATTGAAAGACGGAAATAGCCTGACTATTGAATCGTCAAAGTTCATAACCCCGTGCCAGTATAGGCTGAACCGTCTTAATGTTCCATGTCTATGCCCTGCGCTCGCGTTTTCCCCTGTACGTACGAATTTGTTTCCGGACTGCGCGATGCCTGTATTGGTATGGTGTCTGAAAGTCTCGGTTTTTCGCCAAACAAACTTGTATCATGTGTTGTAAAAGGAACGATAGAGATACCCACATTATTTTAATATAAATCCGTGCTCTATATAAGGATTGACTCTTCACACAAAAACAAACATTCAAAATTGAAAACACCGTATCAACCACGGTCCTAATATAAATATCCCAAATAATTGATACATGAACCATCGGACTTTTTTTTAACCTTGTTTTCATTTTTGACTGTTGAACCTTCGGACTAATAACTTATTTTCTAAATTCGGGCTATCGAACCTTTGTACACATAAAGCTTCGGAGTAACAAACCTTCGGACTATCGCATTTAATGACCGGATTAACGAATCTTAGTTAATTTTCGGACCAATGACCCCCGGGTATGGCAATTGTATGTTTTTGGACTATCGAACCTTAGGATTATTAAATCTTCGGACCATCGAACAACCAGACTAACCCTGTGTAGATAACCCTAAGGATACTTACGGGTGATATATTTCACTTTCGTGTTTCACATTGCAATAAAATAATAACATTTCTATGTTTGCAAGGTGACGTTAGACCTTTTTCACAATAAGCCGGACACGAAATACATGTACACAGTATGAGAAATAACTTCGCAAGTATGACTAATATCTAGATCTTTGTGCTGGACAACTTGAAGCATGGATTTTTTTGCCCCAACAAATTGAAGCATATGTTGAGCGAAGTCTCCATCCAATGACCAACTGACGTGATTTTCGGGTTGTTTACATTATTACATTGTACTTTCGTGTTTCGCATTGCAATACAAAATGTATTATTTATATCGTGTTACTACTGTTAGAGAGATGACTTTAGAACTTTTTTCATAATGAGCCGATCACGAAATAAACAGTAAGATAACTAACTTTATTATAGGCAAACACGCCCAGTGTCGGATTTTTGTGGTGGACAAGATGCATAGATTTTTTTGTACATAGAACTCTATGCGCGCACGAGTGCCTACGTGTCAGTTCGTGAAAACAGTGACGCCATGCCCCGTTTTTAGCCAGTGCGTCAGTTACAGAAAGTGTCGTGTGATACAATAAATGGTGTAGGCCTTTGTCGTTTTCTTTTACCTCTCCTGCCCGTAGGGAATATTCTGGATCTTTACAAAGACTCTGTGTTGACATTTATATTTAGACAGGCGGTGGATTTGGTTAAAACGTGCCGTACGCGAAATTGACTGCATAATTTCAACAGACTCCGAGTAGGACAAGTCGGTTTCCTAGATACGATTCCACCACTGACCCAGACATATCTCAATACGTGTTTTTGGAGCTATACAATTGTCCACCGTAACTTTACTTCAAAAAGTCCAAAAGAATTTGCACCTGAAAGGTATGAAAAGTGTATTGAATCATCGAGAAATTGGATAAAACTTAAAATTCCTGTTATAATTTCCCCCCTTATTTCGAAATAGTACTTGTTAAATAAACGTCATATATAACAATCATCTTCAATTCTCCCCTCTCATAGGTCGATACGACTTCAACCATGCCGAGGAAAAGGTATCTTTGCCTTGAGATCATTTTGTTCTGCGTATTGGCAAGTTCAGGCTACGGTAAGTAGTTTAATTCATATATTCTTAGCTCATACCATTTCCAAGTCAAAAACATTATTTTTTGTTAGTTTTGCTTTGTTTGTTTAGTTGCTTGTTTTTAAAAATTAGTTTACATGTAGAAGTAGATGTTTTATCTGCATTTTTTCCCATAGGTTTTGTACACGTTTTA